CATCTCTCATCCGTGGTATCTCCCCATGTGCGTGTATGCAGGAGGGACCTTCGTCTATGTATGCGGTCCCTTCCCTCCCTCTCACATGTGTGATGTATGATGGGATGTCGTAACAGTCCAGGTCAGGTCGGGACTTATCTCCAAGTCTTCCGCTATGCTATTAAATGTCATAGTTCATGTATCGGGATGTACACCGTCTGTTAATATTACGTTAGCAGTCTACTGTCCATTCAGTCCTTTTCATCACAATGCGGATCCTTGGCTGAACTCTCAGTGCTCGACTGGGCATGTAATAGTTGGTACCGGAGCACCTCACGTGAATCAGGACTACCTGATATGACACGTGTACGGGGAGTTAGCTGGTGAAGAAGACTCGACTAACTTATTGGTTGGTTGAGCACACAAGTTAATCCCCAAAATCACGATTTTGACCTTACTGCTAAAAATCGAAAATTTTCTTTTTTTTGGATTTCGTTTTTCCGTTATTTCTTATTGTGGAAAAATCGCAGTAGCACAACTCCTGAAATTTCTGTTGTTTTGTCGAAATTTCGTTGTTAAAAATCCAAAATATGTCTTTTTGAAAATCTCGATTTTGCAATTTCCCATACTTAAAAAAAAATTCGGAATATAAGTTCATTTTTTTTTTTTTTTTTTTCAAAACGGTACAGGAAATCTCTCTGGCAGTACTACTTTCCAAGCTGCGCATACTCTCATTAAAGCAAATCCGATTTTTTTTGTAATCATTTGCAGTCTGGAAGTCGAATTTTTCCTTTTTCGGTTGTATTTCGTACTTCGGGGATTGGGGGAGCTTGCTGAACTTGCAAACAAAAAAATTTTCTCTCTTCGTCCCCTCAGAATTTTTTTTGCAAAGTTCAACCTTTTCTGTTTTGATTAGCGGCTCCTTATTTGGGCGATCTACCCCACCCACCCTCCCTATCTACGTTGTTTGCCATCTCTGATCTCATCTTCTTCATCCATTCCGGGTATTTCCTGTGGTGGCATTGGTAAGTTGCCACGTCAGCGGGCCACATCAGCAGACCACGTCAGCAGACCACATCAGCGGGCCACATCAGCAGGCCACGTCAACAGGGAGTGCCACATCAGCCACCCGGGCCTGTTTATGATGACACGCTCGCAGACAGCCGTCATGGACCAGAAACTGGGGGAAACGGCGGAGGCATATCAGGACCGCATGCTGGCTTTGATCATAGAAGCCAAGCAGCGGGCGGATGCAGTAGCAGCCGAAGAGAAGAAGAAGGCGGAGAATGCCGAGCAGGCACGACTGCTAGCTCTTGAACAACAGCGGCTGCAGGCCGAGACAGCAGCGAAGGCTGCAGATGAAGAACGATTGAAGCGGCATGAGAAAATTTTCAGCGGGGAGCAAGCATTACTCACATTGGCAGCAGAATGGCGAACTGAGGCGGAGACAGGGAAGATGGAGGAGAGCGAGACCAAGATTGCCCTCCTCCTCTCCCATCTCACGGACCTCCTGGCGACATGCATCGCGCAGCAGGAGGACATTCACAGCCTCGATACCGAAGTCAAGAGTGTTCGCAGCCGCGTACAGCAGCTGGAGCAACGACCAGCCGCCGCCCCTGTGGCAAGCTCCTCCAACACATCAGACTGCCTGGACGCATTGGAGACTGACGTCAGCACACTCAAGGACGGCCCACGACTACAACAAACCGCTACTCAACAATTGGAGCAGCGGGTCTATGCTACCGCCGCCAGCCCGAGTTCGGGACAGCGCGAGTCAACTCCCAAGTTTGACGGTCAGGAGATCTTCTGCGATTCAACAAAGACGGATCCAGTTCAGTGGTTCTGCAAGTTTGAACTCACGTTGCAGCTGCACCTCGTCAGCGAAGGTAAGCACCACGCGTACTTATACTCCCGGTCGGGAGGCGCATGCCAGGCATGGCTGAACAATCTCTTGTCCCAGTACGGGGTGGTCGCTGTCGAGTTACACATGAAGATCAGCCGGGAAGACCTCAAGGCGGCGTGACACAAGTGGTTCCAAGTGGAGCCGTCGGAGATCAAGGCCATGGACAAACTCATGACCTTCGAGCAAGGCTCGCTGCCAAGCGTCGACTGGATTGCCGAGTACCAACGCTTGACATTCGGCCCAGGTCTCCCGATGGGCTTCAAAGCCATCAAGCACTACTTCATTTCGAGGTCGTGCCCGGCATTGAGCAACGCCTTGACGCATGTCGAGGACACACTGACAACGACGGCGCAACTGTTCGACAAGGCCGCACATGTTATCATTACGAACAAGGAGGCGAAGAACCTCACTCATGCTGCGGCAGGCCCGAGCAAGGACCAGCATCGGTCCAAGGTGGCCGTGGTTGAGGCGGCATTGCCAAGCAGCCAATCTAGCGAGGCGGGGTCTGCCAATGAAGGAGACAGACTCGCAGCTGCCCGGGATGGTGGCCGCCCCGACCGAGGCCGAGGACGCGGCAAATCGAAGACAAACACCACATCAAACCCTGGGCCCGGCGCAGTAGCTCAGGGGCCCTGGACCCCCTACGGTCTTTCGGAGCAAGCTTACAAGCAACGCACGAAGTACCGTTACTGCCTGTGGTGCAACAGCGACTGCCATGAGGCAACGGGCTGCCCTACCAAGGGGAAGGGCAAGCAGGGAAACTGAGCGCCACCAAGAGTGAGTCGACGACACTCTCGATGCCTTCGGAACCGGTTTCTTCGCGAGTGACCGGCCTTCATTCCGGGGCGCATGCGGAAGTCGACAGTCCTCTTCTCTATTCTTTTGAGGACTATGCTGCCCGGCTCGTTCCGGCGCTGGGATCTTTTGCTCAAGGACAAGACGTGTGTGTGGCATCTTCTCCGTCTGGCAACGGTTCTTCTTCGTCTTCAAGTGGTTCTTCACGGGATTCGACACGGGGGTTCAACATAGAGGAATTGGACCCGCTCAAGTATGGGGATTTCGCATGGCTTCCTCTCCCGACCACGGGCCATTTACCGGGATCGCAATGCGCAGCACTCTGTGCCCAACTTCACAAGTACTTGTCCTTCTATGCGCCACCAACTTCGCCGACGGATGACGAGTTCGCGGTGGGGGACATCTTGGCATATGTTACCAAGGTGGCCCGCGAGTTTCGCACGCAGCGGTATGACGACAATAATGCACCGCTGATGTATGTCCACATCCAAGTTGGGCAGGCGTCCTGCAGCGCTTTGCTGGATAGCAGCGTGACTCGCAACTTCATGAGCCAAGCTTTTATGCAAAGGGCTGGCCTCGACGCGCAGGTTCGGAGGAAGGCAAACCCGACGGCGATCAAGTTGGAGGATGGAAAGACGCAGCAACTTCTCGACCATTACATCGAGGCCGTACCGGTGTACTTCGCACCTCATGCATGCGAACCGATCACGTTCGACATCTTGGACACGAACTTCGATATCATTCTGGGAATGCCTTGGCTTGCAAGTGCGGATCACACGGTCAACTTTCACCAGCGGACTCTCACCATTCGCGACGCCTTCTGCGCCGAGGTGCCGTGTACTATTCCACTTCCGCACCCTTCGATCCGGTGCCAAGTCGTGACGGCCAAATCGTTTCGAACTACATCTGCATATGAGCAACCCGAAGAGATAGGCCTATGTTTCTTGCGGACTAGCGCGGCAGCCGACTCTTCACCATCAGACTTCTCTTCGGACCCCCGCGTGGTACGGCTGCTTGATGAGTTCGCCGACATCTTCGAGTCACCTACCGGTGTGGTGCCGGATCGGCTGATCTCTCACGAGATCATTCTTGAGGCCGGTAACGTGCCGCCGAAAGGTTGCATCTATCGGATGAGCGAGGAGGAACTGGAGGTCCTTCGCGCACAACTCGACGACTTGTTGGCCAAGGGCTGGATCCGCCCTAGCAGCTCCCCATATGGAGCACCAGTTCTCTTCGTAAGGAAGAAGAACAAGGATCTACGTCTGTGCATCGACTACCGCAAGCTCAACGTGCAAACTGTGAAAAATGCGGGGCCTCTTCCTCGTATCGACGATCTTCCTGAAGGACTGGGCGGTGCTAAGTTCTTTTCCAAGTTGGACTTGAAGTCGGGGTATCATCAGATTTGAATACGCCCAAATGATTGCTACAAGACCTCATTCAAGACGCGGTATGGGCATTTTGAGTGGGTGGTCATGCCTTTTGGCCTCACCAATGCCCCGGCAACCTTCCAAGCGGCCATGACCCACGAGTTCCGTGCTATGTTGGATCGGTTCGTGCTGGTTTACCTAGACGACATTCTCATCTACAGCCGGACTCTGGAGGACCATCTTGAGCATCTTCGACGTGTGTTGGAGAAGCTCCGCCGTGCCAAGTACCAAGCCAACCGCGACAAGTGCGAGTTTGTCTGGCAAGAGCTTAAGTACTTGGGTCATTTTGTCACACCAGAGGGCATCAGCTCACTATCGGAGAAAATTCAAGCCATCCAGGAGTGGCCGAAGCCGCGTAACGTCACGGATGTTCGTTCGTTTCTTGGTCTTGCTGGCTACTATCAGCGCTTCATCAAGGGCTATTCGAAGATCGCGTCCCACTTGACCAAACTTCAATGCGAGGATCGGTCGTTTGACTTCGACGAGGATGCGCGAGAATCTTTCTTGGCTCTCAAAGCTGCACTTTTGTCAGCGGAGGTCTTGCGAATCTATGACCCGCTATTGCCCACACGCGTCACTACTGATGCGTCCGACTATGGTATTGGCGTTGTCCTCGAGCAACACGATGGCGTGGACTGGCACCCGGTCGAGTATTTCAACAAGAAGGTCCCCGCCGTGCACGCTATTGATGACGCGAGGAAGAAGGAATTATTGGCCTTCGTACACGCGCTCAAGCGCTGGCGGCATTTCCTTCTTAGTAGACGGCAGTTCCGATGGGTAACGGACAACAATCCGTTGGTCTTTTACAAGACCCAGAGCACAGTCAACAACATCATTACCCGGTGGATGGCCTTCATTGACCAGTTTGACTTCTTCCCTGATCACATTCCGGGCAAGTCAAACCGTTTGGCGGATGCTCTTTCACGACGTCCGGACCATTGCACCGCCGTCTACTCGACTTTCGAGATTGATAACGACTTGCGGGACAATTTTATCCGCGGCTACCAGGCCGACCCCGAGTTTCGCGATAAGTACGCAAATTGTTCCTCGCCCAATCCGGCACCTTCTCACTATCGGATCCAGGAGGGATATTTGCTTGTCCACTCGCGGGGGAAGGATCTTCTTTGCATACCGAGTGACCCTCACTTGCGTACACGGCTTCTTGGCGAGTTCCACGATGCTCCCGCCACCGGACATTTTGGCGTCAATCGAACGATCGGCCGACTTCGCGAGTGATTTTGGTGGCCCGGTCTTCTCGACGACGTCACACGCTACTGCGAGTCATGCGAGATTTTTCGACGTTGCAAATCCCGCAATCATCGTCCGTATGGCGAGTTGCGACTACTACCGGTTCCCTTGCGCCGACGGGAGGCGATTGCCATGGATATCACCGGGTCATTCCCCAAGCACAAGACCGGTGTGGATGGGAGTCTCACAGTAGTCGATCGACTCACCAAGTTTGCCATGTTTTTGCCTTGTCGCTATCATGCCAAGGCACCAGAGTTGGCCGAGGTTCTCTACGGCGGTTGGATTCGAACCAAGGGTTACCCCAAGGAAATCATTTGCGGCAAAGACGCAGCAACGCATGAGCCAGCAGGCCAATCGTCAGCGTCTTTCTTGCCGATTCCGCGCTGGCGACCTCGTGTGGGTTTCCGACGCGGAATTCAACCTTGAGCAGGATATCTCTCGCAAGCTTCTCCCGAAATGGATGGGGCCATGGCCGATTGTAGCACCTACTGGGGATGCACCTGAGGGACCTTCCTTCACAGTTCAGGTGCCCGCCCACTTGCCCGTCTACCCGATTTTCCATTGCTCCAAGTTGGCGCTGTACACACCAGCAGACTTGGATGACTTTCTCGGGCGACGATCGCAAGACCCACCCTCTTTGGATGGCTTTCAGGAGGTCGGTGACATCATTTCCCAGCGACGCTACGGCAACAAGCCCACCGAGTATCTGGTACACTTTGCGTATTGCACCCACCGATACGACCGCTGGTTGACCCGTGCGGAACTCCAAGCGACAGCTCCAGATGTTCTCGTACGGTATGAATGAAAGATGCAAGGCAAGTCGGTATCTTCGGCTCCACACCGCAACCACGTCCAAGTTCCACCTTCAGATCGTCGGCTGCGCCCTCGACCCGGCTTGACTTCATAAGGAGGGGGGGGYGTTACATGCTGCGCCTGCACAGGAGGGCCATTTTCCAGGCCCTGCGTCGTTCAGGCTGGAAGCCTGAATTTCGGGCTCAAGGCCTGGAAATAAGGGTCTGCAGACCCCATGACGGTTCACCCCAAAAGCCTGACATCCGGGGCCCACAGACCCTGCATCGTCTCAGCCAAAAAAGGCCTAAGCCTTTTCAGCCCGAAACTGAGGGTTATTTCCGGGCATGCAGACCCCATGACGGTTCAGCCCAAAAGCCTGACATCTGGGGCCCACAGGCCCTGCATCGTTTCTGCCAAAAAAAGGCCTGAGCCTTTTCAGCCTGAAACTGAGGCCTATTTCCGGCCCTACAGACCCCATGACGGTTCAGCCCAAAAGCCTGACATCCTGGGCCCACAGGCCCTACATCGTTTCAGCCTAAAAAAAGGCCTGAGCCTTTTTAGCCTGAAACTGAGGGCTATTCTCGAGCCCTCGTCAGACCAACCTGCCCTGATACAAGCACATTCGAGCATTGGCAGGAGTGACCTGCCCTGAAGCTTCCTCAAGGGCTAGCACGTGCAGGCATTGGCAAGAGCAGCCTCCTGGACGGGCCAACACTATATAAGACTCGCCTGCCCTACAGGTTGGGACAGACGAGAGGAGACTGCCCACGCACTCAACGTGCACTTCTACAGGAGGCAGTAGTCTTCAGGATTCGGCTGCAGTAGTAGAGTAGCGTTAGCAATAGTCTTCAGCGCTGGGCGCTAGTAGCAGTAGACCAGAGTAGTGGMGAGAGGAGGCTRGCRGAGGCCAGGGATGCTTACCTGTGGCGCCATAGCTCCAGCTTCGTCTTCGAGGTACCTWMAGCRGAGCGCCACTCRCCGAGTGACKTACCTGAGGCGCCATAGCTCCAGCTCGCCAGCGAGGTACCTGCAGCACAACKCCACCATCACCGGTTAGTACCKGGCATCCAGAAGAGAGAGAGAGAATTCTTCCTCTTCCTCCTCTCMGTCCACCATCTCTCTCCTACCCTCTCAYTATYTGACTTCAYTGCTTCGGCAGCCTACGAGAGTGAGAGTGGTTTACTTGCAGGGCTACAGGTAGGGGTTGTCACGGGYATTGGCCCAGGATCTGGTTCGACATTTTTGGGCAGACATTTGGTTGGACTTCGGCAAGGGACTATTTTGAACTTCGCTATTGCGATCTTAGTCTTCTCCCTTGCCTCCATCTTCGTCCTTCCTTTTCCCCTTCATCTCTCATCCGTGGTATCTCCCCATGTGCGTGTATGCA